GTATATTTATACAAAGCCCATAATTATTTGGTTTTGATAAAATTTAAAAACTGTGTTTTTTATTTTAATCGTGTAAAATAACTATGAATTGAAATATCTTATATAATAACAAGAAAGGAAGCTAACTTCGGCACGCCGAAGTTTGTATACCCTTGCAGTTTGGTTTTATTATAGATTTAAATGCTGAAAAAACTCACAAAATAGAGTTTCATTACATTCTACCTATACTTATTATGCTTACAGTTTGACAGTTACAGTTTTACATTCCCAGCTTTACATATTTTATACATTTACCGATCGCTTCTATGACAGCTATATGATATAGTTGTCCGATTTTTATGAAACTTATACCAAAATTCTAGAATAATAAAAAAAGCTTATATCTCAGAGTAGATGAAAATACGTTGAAAAAAAACGAAGTTATAATTTTTTTCCTATTAATTTCCAGATCGTTCCTATGGCAGCTATATCATATAGTCGTCCGATTTTCATAAAATTTTTACCAAAATTCTGAAATAATATAAAATGGCCATATCTAAAAAATTATGTAAAACTGTTTAAAAACAGCAAAGTTATAATTATTTTTCTATAAATATATCGAACATTTGTATGGCAGCTATAAGATATAGTCGTCCGATCCTGCCCCTTCCGACATATATAGCAGTGAGAGCATATAGAAGATTATATGCAAAGTTTCATTCAGATAGCTTTAAAACTGAGGGACTAGTTTGCGTAGAAACAGACAGACGGACAGACAGACAGACGGACAGACGGACATGGCTAGATCGACTCGGCTGTTGATGCTGATCAAGAATATATATACTTTATAGGGTCGGAAACGTCTCCTTCACTGCGTTGCAAACTTCTGACTGAAATTATAATACCCTGCAAGGGTATAAAAATTATGTTGAAAAACAACAAAGTTATAGGTTCTTCTATCGGATCGTTCATATGTTCATATAATCATAGTCCTATTTTCAAAATATTTTAAACCGAAATTCTGAAATAATACAAAGTGGGTATATCTCAAAGAAGATGATGATAATAAATATTGATTTACTTTAAAATTTGTTACAGTTTCAATAATCTATAAGGACCTGCAAGTAAATCCCCCATTCTAGAACCATAAAAAAGGACTTTAAGAAAATGGTTCTCCCAAATGACAAAATATAATATATTTATATTAAGAAATTGTACATATATTCCCTAATATAACGCAAAATATCTACTTATATCTTTTTTCAAAAAAGTAATTTGTAATCGAATGCTCATGAAAATGACAGTTGTACCAATTTCCAAAGCTTTGTATGTCACTAGTAATACCCTTGCTACTTACACACACAACATTTAAAGGATTTTAATTTTTTAAAGTTATATCTCGCGTAAAACTTTGCAATATAACAAAGATAATTTGATATATTTCCGAAATTATATCATATATTTTTTAGCTGCGAATGCCTGCCAAAAACAAAGTGCAAAAGGTCAAAGGTGGGAAGGACTGCCGCGGCACTCCACCGAAAACACGAAAAACGTGTGCCACAAACAACCAACAACACCTGAACAAAGTTGTCTCGACTGGCAGACAGCGGCGACGGCAACGATGACGACGCCACTGCCAGAAGCGAAATTCAAAAAGCGAAACTGGAAAACTTTCGCAGGGAAACTCAAACTTTTTATTTGCATTTTTTCATATTTTCCAAGATGCGAGGCGAGATACTTTCGCTGCGGAGCCAGCAGCCTGCATGTGTGCGAGTGTCTGTGGGCCCGGCCTAATTTAAACGATTGTGGTGTTGATGTAATTGCTCGCAAATGAGTAGTGCTCCTGTGGCACCACCGAATTAGCAGCACTTCACAGGTAAACAACGACGGCAGGTAAGTGGTCGGAATTAATCGGCACGAGAACTATGTATTGTGGCCGTCAAAGTCCCCTTTCAATTAACATTTCAGCCCCAATAAATCGGCTGATTGTATTTATTGAGGATGTGCACTCTCACACACAAGAATAGGCGTGTGTATAATCACTTTTCACGTATGCTAGGCGGCTGCTGCCATTATCATTTTTCATGCTGTCTGGCCGGATTGTTGTTGGCCACTTATTGCTAGCATCTGTCATACATCGCAGACATCCTCGAATGTGTGTATACAAACATCCTTCCATTTTGCCTCGTTTGTTTACTCCAGCTTGGCAGTCTCAGGTTTCCTTTTCTTATTTGTTATTATCCATAATTCAATTTATCATTATGTGTTCGTTATGATTTCTTTGAGGTTATATAAAGGCTTCTTCAGATTGGCATTGGCTGGATGATTGTTGTTGTTGGCCAAAGTTTTATGGCTGAATTGATTATTTAAATGCCTTCGTTAGGGGAATTTAGTGGTGATGATTCTAGAGTGTGATTGATTTAATTATTTATATTTTATTATTATTATTTTTGGATCATTTTATTATTTATAGTATATTTCTTTTTTTTTTGCTCTACTTTTATATATAATTTTATTTAGTTTAGACTTTATTATTTGATTGTTAAGAATATGGTAATTTTTTAATTTCAGTTTAATTTTTTCGGCCTTTGAAATTAGCTTTGAAATGCACACTTCTTGCCAGTCAAAGTAATTGACGGTAAGATTTAAAAGGTTCGGCTTTCGATCGGATTTCTTTTGATTATTGATTAATTTTATATTGGGTTGTTGTTTGCGTTAGTTTTGCACATTTGCAGTTGTCACTCAGGACGAGTCCACGGTCCGCTGCTCCTCCCTTTGGCTCCTGGATTCCTTACCTGCAGGGCTTGGGCTCGGGCACGGGCATGTCCGAGTGACAATTGCAGGACCTGGGATCGGATTGTTGTGGTCACCTTGATACGGCTGTGATTGCAATTCCATATTACATTTGCACTGTAATTTTTGCCTTATTTATTCTGCACGAAACACCCACCGCACCCAGCCAGTTGGGAACGGAATCAATTATTAACCGCATTCCCTCTGCACACAACTATCTTGGGTGGGCGTTCAACTCGAGTTTTCGCCCTGCGTATCGCCTGTTATTATTTTATTCTCTATTGGTATTGCTGCGGACGAGTAGAAAAATGGTAGAAATTCATATTTTATAGGCGCGGACGCGTCGCGGACTGCAGCTCCCGAGCTGTGCTGGGCTGTCGGCTGTCGAGCGACGGGGGCGACGGAGGGCAGGAGCCAAGCCAGCAGGAGCCAGCAGGAGACGCGCACTGACGGGCACAACAAAAACACGACTGAGGCCGCCCAGCGGCCACCAACGAATAACGAGGCGAAATTGAAAGCGAGCGCCGCCACCGATGGCGAATGCGAGTGCGAATCGGACTCGTTTTCGGCTGGCTTCAGTTTCAGTTTTCCGCATTCAGGATTCAGGTTGAACGAAATTGAAAGCGCCTCTGCCGAAGTGGGTCTCTCGCTCGTCCTGCCCACAGCAGCAGCAGCAGCAGGAGCGCCCAAGAGTTCGCGAGCAGCAAGCGCAGCTGAAGGCATGTAAACAAAGCCAGGACGAAGCTCGGCCAGGTAGGGAGCCGACACGAGGGGACACAAGCCGAGCGAGCCGAGACGAGCCGAGTGCAGAGCCAGCGAAAGCTCTCTCTCGCTGCCGCTCAGCTGTGCGTGGGCGTTGCAAACAGCTGATAGCAGCTGTCGCTCTCTGAGCGCCTCTCTTTTGGCCTAATTTGCTGACATTGCTTAGACACGGCAAGAAATTGGTGTCGACCGAAAGGGGGAAACCCAGCTTCGAATTAGAAGATCAAATTCTTTTTTAAATCAAAAAAATAAAGATAATTTGGAACTAGATAAAAAATAGTTCTAATGTATTTTTAAATTTTAATTTCAAAGTTTTTTTTTAGGAGTGATTTACAAATTTCGCTCAGTGTAAAAGCTCGCTGACTCGGACACACACACTCAACTGCATTCTGTCGTTATCCTAGCTGACATAGTAAACATGACCAAAATGCATGTTCCCCAAGGTGCCAGCGTATCTGTGAGTGGGTGTGTGTGTGTGTGTGTGCGAGTGTGCGGGGGTAAAGCCGCATTTGACGTGCCAGTGCCACATTCATTTGCATATTTGAGAGCGTTTTCTGGCTTACGCGTGAAGCGGGCGTGTGTCTGTGTGCGGGAGCAGGAGGAGGAGGCGGAGGGCTGGACCGCACACGCCGAAGTCTCATGTGTAAGGCATAGATAAGTTCAACTTAATTAAAGTTTCAGGCGGGACAAAACGTCGGCTGCTTGGTTTTTCGGCTCTTTGTTACATAAATTATGACAATTGGCCATGCGACTTACAGATGCACCCGAGACCTTGCTCATTTGCCCCATCATCATCAGGGGGTAATCGTTAGGCAGCCCCACTGCTTTATTATTAATGCCACCCACATCGTTTGTAAATAAATCTCTGTAAGCTCCAATGTAATTCTGAATTTTAGATCAGGGCTTCGGGCATTGGTCAGGGGAAGTAAGTGTGCAAGTGTGCATAATCCGAGGAATAGTTTAAACGTAATTAGCTCTCAAATCCCCCAGGGCTCAAGAGCTGTACATAGTTACTCGGGTCAAGTTTAGCCTCTTTTAAAATGAAATGAAGGAAGTTTTTATCGCATATCTCAAAAGTAGCCTAGCTGCTTACTTTTGATTTTTAAGTCTATAATTTAGTTTGAAAATATTTCCTTACGGAGTAATGTTGCATTTATAACTTGACTGCCTGCCATTAAAAGAAACCTGGAAGAATTGTAGCATACTTATGCGGGTGAGTCGGAATAGTCGAATATTATGTACTCAGGTATACACAAATACAAGACAAAGTAAAAGGTTTACAAACTCCTATTGCGGATTCACTTTCAGTTTCCAATGATAGTAATCAAGCAGAAACTTCTATACATTACAATTGATCTAATATATCCATATTAATTGCCAATAATAAACTAAAGTATAGATCAATTTGAAAAATTAGGCCTAAAGAACGCTTACAAATCTAGTAAATACATGTACTCAGAGTTGGATGCATTTCAGTCATTCCGTTGTTTATTCCATTGAATAGTTTGATCAATAATAAGTTTCTCTTTTAATTCAGTCCACGTATGCACTCTATATAATTGGTGCAGTTAGAAAGCCTCGTTGTCTTCGTCATTTTCACTATTGTTCTCCAACGAAGCGGCCAAGTCCAGCAGTGCCTTGACCTCCTCATCGTCGACCATTGGTTCCCTGATCAAATTGTGGGGGAAGGGATTTATATCTCGACGCTTGACTAATTCTTGGTCCGCGCGCTGCTTCATTGCAGCTATAACTTGATTGCGAATCCGGTCCTCGTGCTCTTTTTGGGCCAAAAGGATTATGGATTTCATTTCCCATTCACAGCGCTGCTCAGGAGTCAGATGAAGCGATGGATCCTGCTGGCGGCCATCTACTTCCTCGTAAGCAGCCACATGACCGATCGAATATACTGCAAACATTTTTGAGGGAATTTCAATGAAACCAAAAATAACGTTATGCTTGCCGGGTAATCGAGGACTAATGCTTTTATTTTATTATGTACCTAAGGCACATTTATCAGAGTCTACTCAGTCGTTTCTAGTTTTTGTATATTAATGTGACTTTGTTTTAATGCCGCTTGAGATCTCTTTCTCTTCTTCCCAAAAATCGCTGCAGTTTAGCCATCTCATACTCCTTGGCTGCCTGCTTAATAATTTCATTCACCTGCCCCCCAGTCGTGGGGGCCTGTACAGGATCCATGGTCGTTCGGTGAACCTGACTACCGTTGCCGATTTCAACATAGGCGGCAGTCACAAAATCGGTGCCCGATAGCATTGCTTTCCCTAAGATCCCAGAGAACTCCAAGCAAGACGGCTGATTGCCGGCAAGAAACTGAAAAAAAGTATTATATCCCCCAGGCCAGTCATTTGTCTTGAGTATCAATATCAATATTCAATGAAAACGTGCAAAGATATATAAACAAAACGGTAGAAAACATAAACAAGCCGAGAACGCGTCAACAAGTTGGCCAGCAGTGCCAGTCAAAGTTTGGGATGTCTGTGTAGCAAAGGGGTAAACTTTACATTCGGAAAATGAAACGGAACCATGTTCATATATAGCTTTAAGTTTTCTTTTAATCGGAAAAGCCGGGCTTTTTTTGAAAGCTGTTATTGCAGGCAGCCTACGATGGCCAGTGAAAGCTGAAGGCAAAAGCTTTCTTGGTTCATGCCTTCATTATGGTGAGTTTCCTTTGCTCTATTTTATTTTGATATTCTATATTCCCCACTCCAGAAAATATAATTCATTTATTTATGACCAATATGAAATGTACATATGTACCTAATAAAAAAAACCAAGACCACGCTCCTCAGCTATTTCTTCAGTGTGTTGTTTTGCTTATTTTCACTATTAGATTATCATTAGTATAGAAGGAACTATCAGTGCTTTCTGCAATATCCGTAAAATTAGCCAACTCGAAATGTGCTAATTTGACTCCCTTCTATTAATACCATGTCAAGGCTGTGCATTAGGACTTATTGATTGCTGTAAGCGGTGTCAGCACCGCCACCCTCATTCAACCGATGCAATTAATAAATTATGAACTTCTGCCCGCCACTGGTCAGCGACCAGTTCGTCACGCATCGTAACACCGGAATAATGAAAGGTGTCACTCGGTCCGAGAACGAAAACAAAGCCAGCCCAATAACCAGTCCTATTCAATTATGGCCAACACCAATGCCGGGCAGGAATTAAAAATTCCATTTGCGGTCTGCGGTCAGGTAGAGGGGCGTGATGAACCGTCTATACTTATATTTAGCCCAGCTCGTCACTTAGCTTTCTATTAATCAAATCCTGGAGTTGGTTCAATTTACTTTAATTGCTTTACCGAAATTACGTGGGTGGATACCGAAAGCATAGTAATGGAAGTTTATAAACACGTGTAAACAACCAAAAGCTTATCTCTTATATCAAGGCTAAAATTATGGTATAATAATGGCTTATTCCCTATTATAATTTAAATTTTTCCTCTGTTTAAAATATTTGTTTTTCAATTGTCTATAAAATTGACAGATTAATTGTTTCTGACTATTTGTTTAAATTTGTATTTATTTAGTCAGCAGAAAGCAATTTAACATTTTGGTTAACCAATTGTGATTATTTACATTAAAAAAAAAACTAAAAAACATGCTAAAAAGCCGAGGTTTGTATACCCTATCAATTGTCACATATTTTTTAGGAACGATTGTTTAAGTTCATTTGTAATTTGCAATATTCACTTAATATTTTTTGTTTTATTGAAGAGCACAAAAATAAACCGTTTCTGTGTTTATACTAAAAAGTTACATTTTCATTTGGAAGTAAACTAAAGAAAATTGTTGCAAAAACTTCTTAGTCGAATTCTCCACGCGGTTGCGTATTTAAATTCGTATTTGACAGTCACTCACTCACTTAAATATTCGTCACAGACACGCGTCGTATACATAATATAGGGAACCAACATTCCTAATCCCAACCATGACCAAGAACAACAAAACTTAGCGGCATAAAGTTGGCGCCAGTCGGAGGAAAGTCAGACAGCCAGCCAGGAAATGGGCGGGCGCGACTGCCTCCCAATAGGAATTCCCGTTTTCCACTTTCCATTTTTCCACGCTTTTGCACACTGAACCTGAACGTTGCACCGACTTGTTGCACTCACTTTTCCACCGCCGCTGCCATCTACGGCTGGTTCCAGCGGATCCGGCTGCAGGTTTAGTTGCGAGACCGCGGGCGTGGGCGGAACCACATCGCCGCCGTAGTAGTCCGCCACGCTGGGCACCAGCAGCACGCCCACCTTGTTGCGGGCCACTTGCTGGGTGCTGCGACGGTGCCGCGCCGGCAGCATCATCCTGTGGGCCACCAGAGCCATGATCGACGCTGGAAGGCTTTAGGCGATTTTTCGAGTGGAGCCCTAGGGGTATTTAAGTCAAATCGAAGTCCTGGCGCACGCGGAACACTCGCGGAGGGCAAATCAGAGCCGCGTTTGCCTTAAGGAAATGCTCGCTGCCAACTGAAGGACCAAAAAAAGGAAAACAAGCCGCAAACGAAAAACGAGCGGCGAAACTTTCAACGCACCGGAAAGAGGCGAACGACGAAAGGAAATGGGCGACAGCGCTCTCGCTCGCTCTCGCACACACACACACACAGCCAGTGAGTGTGTGTGAGTGTGTGCTTGCGTACTAAACGCCGCATGTTTGATGAGCGTTTTGTTGTTGCTCCTTTAACGTTAATATTAATGTCGGAATCACATTGTCTGCGGAGGAACGCGTCTGTGTGTGAATGGCGACTGTCGTGTCTGGTGTGCGACTCGACGAGAGTCCTGTCTGTGCGGTGTGTGTGTGTGTGTGTGTGTAAGTTTACCAACACGTGCACGCCACATTTAATAAACGAAAGTCGAAAAACAAGCAGGAAACATGGCGCAGATGTAATATTTGTTGTTAAAATAAAATGACGAAAAGGAAAACAAGTTGTAACATAATAAAGCATGAAAATGGCTGGCACGACTTTCCAATACCCTTCGTGTTTTTATAACCCTTTAGGTTATTTATCATAATTTTTATGTAAAATTTCCAAAAAAAACAACATTATATCATAAGCTAGTCACATTTTCTGTTTCTGTTTCCAAACATGCTAGAAAGCGTACTTACTGATCAAAAGGTCATTTTAATTTTTAATCTATTTGGAACATTCTCAAAATTGATGACCCAACACAGTGGAATTGAGAATTATGTTCAGGATGCTTAGTCGCATAATCCTGAATCGGTGCATCTGTGCACGCAACTACGCGAAGGACGTAAGGTTCGGAAGGGAGGCCCGCAGCCTGCTCCTGCGGGGTGTGAATATTATGGCCAATGCTGTGGCCACCACCCTGGGACCGAGGGGCAGGAACGTGCTCATTGAGCAGCTACTAATCTCTCCGCGGATCACCAAGGACGGCGCTACGGTTGCGAACAATGTGCAGCTGAAGGACCGACGCTGGAACCTGGGCGCCCAGCTGCTTCGTCAGGCGACCAACGATACCAATAATGAGGTGGGCAACGGCACGACCCTGGCCACGATTCTGGCCCGCGGCATGGCCTGTCAGGGCATTCAGGCGACCCGCGCAGGTCAAGTCAACGTCCAGCTGCTGCGCGAGGGCATTCTGGAGGGATCTCGGGTGGTGTGCGAGGCCTTGAGCGAGATGTCCGAGTCGGTGGTGAACATCGGGCAGGTGGAGGCCGTGGCTAAGATGGCTTTGAATGGCAACGAGCGCCAGGCCGAGCTGATTGGCGATACGATCCTGGAGCTAGGCGAGGACGGAGTCATCCTTCTGAAGGAGTCGCACGGCAGCGAAGACGAGGTTAAGATTCAGGAGGGCGTGTGTCTGCCCACCGGATACTGTTCGCCCTTCTTTGCAATGTCGGCTAATGGCGATACCCTTGAACTGGGCAACTGCCTACTGTTGCTCACGTTGGCCAAGATAGATGAGGTTAGCCAGATTCTGCCAGCCTTGGAGATGGCCAAGGTTAGGCAGCAGCCTCTCCTGATTATAGCCCCGCACTTCGCCAGCGAGGTGCTGAGGGTTCTGGTCCACAACCTCCTGCAGGGTCGTGTTCAGGTGTGTGCCGTTAAGGCCCCCGGGTTCGGCGAGGAGCAGCGAGAGCAGATGCGAGATCTGGCCGTGGCGATGGGTGCCAATCTGCTGGAGGACGCCACCTGGCTGGCAAAGCTCACAGAAGAGGACCTTGGGGAGGTTGTCTCCGCGATCGTAGATGCAAAGAAAACGCACATTCTGGAGCCGATTAACGCAAAAGAGGAAGATATGGAGGGCCGGATCGAGCATATCCGTGAGCTAATCGAGGAGGCCGTCACAGACCAGGAACTAAACCAGCTAAACACGCGTTTGGGCCGCCTGCAGGGCCATCTGGCCACCATCTATGTGGGCGGGAGCTCTGAGCTGGAAGTAACCGAGCGGAAGGATCGCTTCAAGAACGCCCTGCTAGCAGTTCGAGGGGCCATTCGAGATGGCGTTGTTCCCGGTGGCGGTTGCGCCTACCTTCGCTGCATTCCCGCCCTCCAAAAGCTGCCATCGGCGCAAGTGCCGGAGCATCAGATGGGCAGGGAGATCGTAAGGGACGCGCTGCGCTTGCCCTGCTACACGATTGCCCTCAACGCGGGGGCGGATCCCGACGAAGTTGTCCGGAGAGTGCTCGCCGGAAGTGGAACCTTTGGGTTCGATGCGGCCAACGGGGATTTCTGCGATCTTGCTGCCCGCGGGATTGTCGATCCCACAAACGTGCTGCAAGCCGCCGTCGGCGTTGCGGCGGGAATAGCCTCCCTGCTGGCCACCACCGAGGTGCTCATCACCGAACAACCAGTCAAGCGCAAAATACCGAAAAATCAAGTTACTCGGGATCTGGCAAAACTTGTTGGAATGTAAATAGTTGGTGGCAAGCCTTATATCTGTACAATTTCAAATTATGTGGTCAACTGTTTCTAGAATTTTTTTTAGTTCATGGCGTCGCGACGTTAATAAAGTAGTGCAAATATAAGACTTCTACGATATTGCATTTTATGGTGTAAGGTGTTTATTAAATGGTATATTTATAGTTAGCAAATCAGTTTCCAATATACTTTCCGAAGAAAGCGATTGAGAAATCATTAAAGTATCCTTGCATCGGAACATGAACTTCTTGATGGCTTGTTTGAAGACTCGCCAAGCTTTTCAGATTGCTAAATTTTTTTAAATTTTTTTAAAATTTGGCGTCAGAGAGGAGCAATCCAGAGTTGGAAACAAAAAATTACATGCGTTTTGCGGAACACAGATCTTTAGATCAATAATATTCCGCCAACCTAAATATTTAATGTCCATAATAAAGGTAGAATTTTTGTTAAAACTATGAAGACATGTTCAAAATAACCTTGTCCTGTTGTAAGCTTAAAGCACTATCCTGGCTTATGTTACAGAGCGCTCTATGAGATTCTTTTCCTACACTCATTCACTCTCGCATATGGACATATCACTATTATTGCTCATGATCGTCCACACCGCTATTCAAAGCGAAGATTTCGCCTTGACCTATTTAAACGTGGGACACTTGTGCAGCAGTTTGTCCTTCGGCCCTTGTTTTTTTTTTGCTTTAGGGCCTCGATATCGCTATTGTAAGTCTTTTTTCGAAGGAAATCTAAATCTAAATAAATCTAGGGCTTCCCTAGTAGCTAGTAGTCGTTAAAAAGTTTTCTTTTACGATGTTCTCCTTCTGTTGTTTAAGAAATAACAAAAATTATGTATTATATAGTCCCTTGATTGATATTTCGATTACAAATATTTTTCATTTTGTATATTCATAATCCTGGTTAGACAGCCCATAGAAAAAGCTCAAACCAAAATAAAGGCGAGCAGTGTACTCATATTTGTGGTTATTTTATGGCTTGTCTCCTTGTCGAATCCATAAAATGAACTCATACTAGCACGCGTGCCGCCGCGCTTGATAGACACAGAGAAAACTCCTGGCCTGGCCCGCTCCACTCGATGTCCTTCGCCTCCTGCTCGCTCACTCGACTCACGTCTAGCTTGACCTTAACCATTTGCTGCGTTTTGTTTGGGCGCCGGCAGCAAATACATATGGAAACGGACAACAAACAAGGTGGAGCGGGGAGGAGAAATGTCAGCAGCCGCACTTTTATTTATCTTGATATATATGCCCACATACACATATGTATGTAAGTATGCACGGGTTGAATACGTCAGTTATGTAAGCCTGTAGCGATGTCATTAACGGTGATTAGGGACAATCAAACGGAGGAAGTGCGGGAGCATTACAACGGCGAGCACAAAGCACGCATACGCTACAAGGGACTGACAAGCCGAAACATCTGTTTATTGAGGAGGTTGACCTTCCCACACACACATGCACCCACACTGGCACAGCCAAAGGGCACAGTCAGGACATGCATAATTAAGGAGCCTGGGATACTTTTTTGGGTCACTGCCATCGGAGGGTCGTTGTTCGTATTCGCCGGCTACAAAATTGCACTCTTAATAATGCAACAGTGACTCCTGGCAGTGAATCGAGGATTATGGCCGAGACAGGGAAGTCCAAGCTGATTGGGGCGCCTGAGAACTTTGCAACTCTAACGGTGTTTCAATGCGGGGGAAACATGGGGAGCATAAGTGGACTTACCTTGACACGAAGATACGGATACAGATACGGATACAGCTAAGCATATACACATATAGAGAGATGGGCGGTTCGATGTCGGAGCCTGGACAGACGCCGGGGCTAACGATTCTTGAGGAAGCGCAACATTTTCCACCGCTTCCCGCCGATTCTGTGCCGATGTCTGGGTGCAAAGTGATATGAAATTGTGCTGGTGATGGCTGCGAAAGAGATAATACAGAAAATACTCATTGGGATTAGCGATTGCAATTTCTCTAGTCTATCCCTCATCCTGCTGACACACGTATGCTCCACTGTCGCTGCTCCAGTTCGTAAATACAAAATCCAATGACACAAAACCAGCCTGACAGTTGTCGCCTCTTGTTTTAGCAACGCCCCCGGAAGGGACAACGGCAGCGCTGCCATGTCTGGCGGGTCCTTCGCGCGGCAGAAGGATACACAGCGCGAAGACTCGTGTCAGGGCCGAGGGGTTTTCTAGTTTCTGTTTGGTTTTTGCTCCGTTGTCTGACAACTTCCGACTTTTGCGGTGGCGACTCATGAATCAAAATGACCGAGACGTTTCACAAAATAGTAAGCCGAAGAAAGAAAAACCCAAATAGGTAATTTTCGTTAAATTTATCAGCAAGTCCCACAAAATTAAATGTCTATTTAAGCTCAATCATTTATTTTTAAAATGATTAATTAATACTGCTTTTTGTAAGAAAATTCCCATTTTACACTTGAATAGCGTACAAGCAATACTGAAGCAATATGTTCAATAAATTTTGTTGGCTTCCTCTGGGGTTTTATTTATTAATATATATTTGCAAATTCGTTCTGCTGTATGACAATTATAATATTTCTCACACCCTTTTCAGTTTTTGAAATCCGCGCCTCGCAGAGCTGACTGCTGTAAAACAAAGTACCGCATCATTCAGCCTATAACAGCAAACAACATTTTTACCAGCGATGTCACACCAAAGGTTGTAGTATCAGGTGTGGAATTTTTACATAACCGATTCGTAATTCCACCCCGTTTTACATACCTTCTACCCCATTGCTACATTTGACACAGTTGGTTACATTTGACACATTAAGTTAACCGCTAAGCCAAATTTCGCCTGGCCACACTGTTTGCCTAACAACAATAACAAAAAGTCAGTTACTAATCAGTGTTGCCATTTTAGCTATTTTATTGCTGAAATGCTATTAGCTAGAAATCTAGCTTTGCCAATTTCAAGGTATTGAAATACTTCATTAAGGAAAATATTGAAGCAATTAGGTTGTGTTATGAAAAAATTCATTTCGTAAAATTGGAAAATACCAATAAATCAGTAACATTTTTGACCTCAGGGGTCATCAGTTTGAATTTTTTTTTAGCTATTTCTAGCATGTTTTTTCTTTAACTTTAGCTATTTTAGTCCATGCAATTCTGCCAACACTGTCACTTATATTACTGCCGCCGATTTAGTTAGCTCTAGTTATTATCAGGAGATGTGTTTTGACTTTTGGCCGTTAAAATGACGAACCTAAGCCCATTCGTCTACTGGTCACAGACCAAACAGACCCTGCTGCTCAAAGTCGACCTCAAAGATGCCAAGGTATGTGTGCTTGCCGCTCCGGCCCGACTGGAGACTGCGAAAAATCAATACTAATGCTCCGAGCGTTGTCTCAGGGCGCTATCGCGGACTTTTCGCCGGTTTCAGTGAACTTCAGTGCCAACGGCTACGGAGCCCGCGGGGTGAATGCATACAAGTTTCAACTCCACTTCTACTCCCTGATTGACGACGAGACGGCGGGCTTCGTGGTCAGCGACAACAAGATCGAGCTGCAAATCCGGAAATTGGAGCCCGCCTGGTGGCCGCGTCTGGTGGCCACCCCCCAGAAGCCCCACTGGCTGAAGATAGACTTTGACCGCTGGCGAACGGAGGACGATGCGGAGCTGGAGGACAAGCCGCGCGACGTGCGCGAGGACTACGAGAAGGAGTACGCCGAGCTGCAGAAGCGAGAGCTCGGCTACATCAAGGGTTAGCCGGGGCATCGATGTCGATATGCAGAAGTGAAGCCTAATTGAGAAATTGTATTCCGTTGCAGAGAAAACGAAGAAGGTCTACATGATTTTCTACAACCTGGCCATGTTCGTGGGCTACCTATACATGGTGGCGGTCATGGGCGTGCTCTACTATCGCGATGGCGCCGAGAGCATCGGCAAAATGTACGCCAATGTGGGGAATGCATTTAAGTTCGTCCAGTTGCTGCAGTATCTGGAGGTGATGCACCCGCTCTTCGGCTACACCAAAGGCAGCCCGGTAGTGCCATTCTTCCAGGTGTCCGGGCGCAACTTTATTCTGTTCCTGATGATCGACATGGAGCCACGCATGCACGCCAAGCCCGTGGTTTTCTATGTTTTCGTCATCTGGTCCCTAGTGGAGCTGGTGCGGTGAGTCAGTTGTGCCTCTAACCCTGAAAGGGACATTTGTGCAATCTCGATATATTCTTGTTTCCCCGACAGCTATCCTTTCTATCTGGCCCAGCTGCTGGGCCGGGAGGTGGGCCTGCTCACCTGGCTGCGCTACACGATATGGATCCCGCTGTACCCCATGGGTATCCTCTGCGAGGGCATCATTATACTACGTAATATTCCCTACATCGATGAGACAAAGCGCTTCACCGTGGAAATGCCCAACACTTGGAACATCACCTTCGACATGGTGCTCTTCCTGAAAATATACCTTCTGCTGCTCATTCTGCCTGGTAGCTACTTGGTTATGTCGCACATGGCCAAGTTGCGGGCCAAGAAACTTGGACGGGGCCGCGCCAAGCGTCGGCAGCAGCACCTGCATGCCGACTAGTTCAGAACAAGGTTCTTTTGTTTTCCTATTTTCATTTAACTTAAGCAAAAAGTCCAAAGATTACAAAACATACTATACCACACTGACTTTCATTAAAACTTTTCTTAGTATTGCAATTGTGTACCGACTTCATTTCGTCAAAGTCGCTTGTGTTCGTTAGCATTTATATCGCCACCTGCAGATAAGAAATATGGGGCGGAAATCGCTGTTTTATCCAGCGAGATAGAATTTCCCTTTCTACAGTCTTTATAAGATTTCACGATATGTCAAGTATATATATGTCAAGTAAGTATATTAAACTAGGAAAATAATAGTTAACATTTTTATGCATTAAATTTCTTGTAATAAAATAAAAGTATTAATCTAAAATCACAAATCGTAACAGAAAATTGTCATATTTTTAAATTATTAGACAACATTACAAGTATTTTGTGTTAACATGTCCCACACTTAGAAACAATTTAAATTTGTCTTTATTTGTTTGACTGAAGTCCCGCAATATGTTCGCAAACGGACTCAGAAAAGAGCGTTCAGAGATCCAAAAAATGTATGTATGTATAATTCCCCATAAGGTTAATTCGGTGCAAAACAGCTCACATTTCAACAAAAAGTTGTGGCGAAACGACTAAAGCTAGCTTAATAAATTAAAAACCATATAATTCCACATTTGAACAATTTCTTTTTTAGTATTTGTATAAAAAATATTTAGAGGTCTAGGAGCAATGGGGACTCTCCTCTTAAAAAAAAGGTTGTTTTCGGAGTTGCAAATTTTAAAAATTTATTTCTTATTTTTAGTTCAAATTGGAAGACAAAACCCCGATTTTTTACTAAAATATTAGGTTAATTTCCTAAATAAATAATTTAATAAAATTTAAAATTAAAAAAGGCTCGACGTGAGTACCTGTAGAATTATCTAAAAAAGTTATGTTCCAAATTTCAAACCGATTGGTTGAGTAGACTTTGAGTTATCGTGTACACCAATTTTCAAAATGGCATTTTTGAGGAGACCGCTTTAAACTTTTTGCACACCAAACGATCTTCAATCAACTCAGCATAACTTCTTCATAGCAATATGATTGTTGTAAAACTTGGACAAAATATTCTTAAGATATTGGGCCTTAAAGACAAAAATCAAATACCTTTAAATAAAGTATGTAAACTTGTATATGTATTGAAAACTTCGGAGTCCCAAAAAAATTATATTGCACTAGTAAGCCAGGCGAACTCCGTTACGCTACCTTCGGCAAATTATCTGTTTAATTGAAGTGCTTTTTGGTAAACCACATTTTTTGTGATGTGTTGTGGTTAATGAAATTATTTAGGGACCAAATAGCCCCTGGGATGTTAAAATCACCAAGAACTACTAACTAAGTGGTCCCTATCCGAAATTCTTTTAGAGACCAACTGAATAGCGGAAAAATGGTTTCAATAAATAGGAAGTTCCGACAATGTAGGAATGTAGGAACATGTCTGATAGGCCGATCTAGCTGGTATACTGTGAACACAGCTTCAAAAACTTCGGAACTCAGAATCTCCGGCTTTAACCAGGTTTCTGTAAACACAACACTTGGGAAGCAAATGTGACACTATTAGAGTACAATTTAGGAAGCTTACTGCGTAAGCCTCTAGCATTCTGATAGGAGATACCTTTTTTGGCATAACATTAAACAAAATTGTATTAACGTTGATCAACCAACCTAATGGCTATTAAACCGTTGGTTATAAATATGAACAAAAATAACATGGCACTTAACAGAAACGGAAACAAATTAAAAAATTTTTAATGACAAGTGGAAAATGCTAGTTACTGCTTTAAGACTCGCGAGATATGTCTTCCTCTTGTCCAGAGATCGGCGGGATGTCTACGTTTGAGCCTTCTTCTGACTGGATAGGAGATACCAAGGAAATTTGTTAGTTTCTTGGGACGGAATTGGAAGACGTAGAAGGCGCATTGGTCAAACCGGGCCTAGGAAGAGTAATTTCAACTGTCCTTTTTTCTCTTTCTTTGCTTCGAATTCCTTGACAATCACATGCTTTGGTCAGATTTGAACAAAGCACAGTTTGCCAAAGAATTTCTCAGGAACATTTATTTTGAAAGATGAAACTGTCTCGTTGGTGGTATTTCCATAAGGGATTTTTTCAAGGCAGGCTGATTATACGCCTTACCAATTTCGGCAGGTAGTCCGGGCCTGACACCCTGGTAGGGAACTGGCGCTCTGAGAGGACAACTGTTGGGACCCTGCAGTGGACAAAACGGATATGGGCAACACCGGGGGCACGGTCTCACCCGCGACACCTTCGGATAACGAATCTTTTTCTAGCACTCTATCTCAGGATTCTTGAAATTTGTCCTGAGGTCGATGGCTATGTCGGGGGAGGCTGCTGTTAGGAGCCTGCCACGCTGGTTGGGATCCTCTTAGATGCTGCACACCAGTTGATCTTCGTGTGCTCACGCGTTGTCTCAATCGGGCATTTTCCCTTACTACATTTCGTCTCTCCTCGCTTAAGTTCTGTGAACACACTTGTTGCTGGCATGCATGATCAAAGCGTTGGTGAACTATCCGGGAAATTGTGGTCTTGATCAAGGACTATGGGCAGAGAGGTTAATTTACCCTCAAGTCCACATAATTTACACAGTTCAACTTACCACCCTAAATACAAATGCTGGTTTCCAATTACACTGATATGAAACGAATAACTTATTTTCCTCAAAATAGAACACAATCGGTTTGTCATAAAATAAACTGAGTAGAGAATTATGGCATGCTATGTGTAAGTGTTGGCGCTTTATGCAAAAATGACTTTCCCGCTTTTCTGTTGCAATTTTTCCTGAATTTTCTTTACTGCAAAAATCACAAATTCCGAGACCTTTCCAACGAATGCAAAACCGTGGAAATCGGTTCGTGCGTTCTGGAGTTATAGGATCTCCGCAGAAAACTCGACTTATTTTTATATAATAGATTAGGATAAGTCTATCGAGGTAACGCCGCTTTATATTTGTAAAATTGGAAGCCAGGAAAACGGGTATTTTGTTACTGCTCAAATCATTATTACTGAAAAATTCAATACTTGGAGGACTAGTTAACAAATTGGAAATTATCCAAACGATTTCACTTTTTAAAAGATCGTTTAAAAGTTTGAATTACCATCTGGTGGGTATATTTTAAATGGACACTTTTTTGTTAGATATGAGTAAAGTAAGTTTATTTGTATGTTTAGTGTTTATTTTTTTGTTGAGTATTTTAATTAAAATAAATTTTCACATATTATTTAGTATAAAATAATGTTTTCATTATAAAAAATTTAAACTTCAATTGATCAACATTGACAGAATCTAGCATATTCTAAAACATAATTCGAAATATTCAAATGATATTTTGGTGAAAAACATCAGAAAAAACGACATGTTTTGATTTGATAACAACTTTTAACACAGAGGCATTTTGCTTTGAGTACGACATCAATTTAAATTCAATAAAAAAAAATATTTGTAAGTCAAGAGAAATACATTATGAAGATTAATCTATGCATAATACATTCAAATAGATTGCATTAACATGTTTCATAACATTTCGCAGAAATCAGCAATAATTTTAGATAGTGCAAACCAAGAAATATATTAAAATAAAGTCTTGGCACATGTTTTTTTTTCAGTTTGAATGCGTACAAATGTTGCTTTCGACATCAGAGAGCTTCCAATGTTTTACATTTTATATCCAAGTTGGGTTATAATCGGAGTACCATATATTTACATAGCCACCATATAAAAAATAGTTTTATTAGTTTAATAGTTAAATAATAAAACAATTGTTCGTCAGATAATTTGCATTCATCACATAAAAAATAGCTAAAATTCCTAAAGAGTTCACAAAGCTTCGGATACCTGTATTCTTCATGGCAGAACACTTAACGGTAGCTTTCGCAATTGTATACAGATAGGATATTCAAAGGTTTAGAAAGTCCAAGTCGGGTCAGCAAAAGTACTTGTTTCTATTTAGGACAACGTTTGTTAAGGGATAAAGACTCCTTCGACATGCTAGTTTCCCTACTAGCTTTTGGCAACATTACATCACATCAAAGAGGCAAAGGCGATTGTGTTACCATGTTCAATATAAATATAAGTCGACATACCAAAAGGCCCCGTGCACTGAGCGTTAACATCCTGCCTGATATTGGCTCCTTTATTTCCCTTGCCGTTTGTGAGGCTGTAATCCTGTTTGTTCGCAAGGACGATGCACGACTTGCTGCTGATCCACTCGACCCGGAACTGGATTGGAATCCTAGGTGGAGCTCACTCCCGGTCCCAATTATTTTCCTTCTTTGCGTGAGGAACTCACACATAAAGGCGGTCATTATTTATGAAACGTAGTACATGTGGATAGGGACTTAATTGCGTTCGGTTTCCTTTCGTGTTCAACACATCAATCGGATCTGTTTTGTGGAAAAGGTGTGCTATAACCTTCACTTCACTTAGCTTGGACAAAGTGGAGCACTAATGGATTTGAGGATAGTGCAGCCGGCAATTGTCACCTGCTGGGCGAGATTAATGGCTCCGGCCCGGGCCGCCGATTCATCCAACAGGCCTGCGAAATGTCTTCCCATCAAGTTCCATTTCGCGTGAAATATTCATTGCAATTTGCACTCCGTCTCGGTTTTCCCGTGCGCTTTTTTTGGACCGGCGCCCGAAACTGAACCGACCCGGGGTTAACGCTCAACTAATCACCAGCCGTGGCCAGCCGGCAGCTAATAAACCTCCGGGAGAGAGGCCTGCCCACTTGCTGATAAATGGGTTTTTGATTAATGCCGAGCGCGATTGATTTTCGGCCACGGAGCAGCTGAGCCAGCGGTTTAGCCCGTTTCGGAGGCGGAAAAATGTGCGGATGTATGCCATCTGACACCCGTCTTTGGGCGATGGCGGGTGTATGTGGACGAGGACGAGGAAGTGCAGGCATCAGCAGTGGCCTGCATTCATGATTTACCGCCTGGTGTAGCTTCCCGGTGGCTGGAGCTCTCCCTTTCCCGGCGGTCATTTATCAACCGCCCACTGGGGAAGGTCAAAAACTATGCCATGCGCCCGAGTCTAAAAGTATGAACAATTGGCCTGGCTTAAATTGCACGCAATCAAAAATAAGTGGGGAAAAGACCAGATCCCACAAAATGGTTTTAGGCAATTATTAAATTAGGGAAAAGCTCAGCCAGTTTGCTGAAAAATAAAATGTAAGTCGAAGAAATCCTTTTTAAGCAGACTAACCAAGCGAATCGCTAGGCTGATATATGTTTTTTTCCCAAATATATATATAATATGTACGTAAGGATATCCAACGCCATAGCACAGAAAACCAAACCACATGCCAACCATGCACTTTCTAGCCCAGCCTTATGCACTAGAGTATGCAATAAAACTCTCATTAATTTCTCAACACAACCGCAATGATGTTGCTGCCACATAGCACACTTAAAAGTGCTGGAAGTTGATTTTATTATTCCTAAAGAAGGGTGAACATGCTTAAATAAAAACAGTAACTTTTAACAATAGGCTTTGAAGTGAAAAATATACATAGAAGTGACCATAATGGCTTATTGTGAAGAGTTCCAGCCAACTAGAGGGATAGGTACTGTAGCCTTTTATACTTTTAAAACAATAAATAACGTAAACGCAGCTATCAGTTTATAAACCTTCACAGTCTGCAATTATTTAACATATAAATAAATAAATGAGTTTGTCAGGGTATTCTAAGCTTCGCTTTCAAAAGACAGATGTTAGTCACCATCCAATGATTTTTTAATTTTATGAATTGTTTACATAGACAATGTACTTGGAAAATATTCTATTAAAATTAAATTTTCTTTGAAATGATGACTTCCAGTAAAAAAAAGAGCCGAGCGCTGGAACGGAGAGGCAATAAAATCCAATGTAATAAAAGCCATACATAAAATCTATGAAAGGGCGTAAGTATCAGCAAACATTGTGCGCAATACACTCGCAAATTGCGCTTGCCAAGATTTGTGTGCTCAAATGGCTGGAGACGTCGTCAATGGAACCACCAAATCTGACTCTGGGCCAGCAACAATCTTTGCATTTTGCATTCGCCTTCCATTGCGACTGCTGCTGGCGCCAGAATCGAGGAGCAATCGATGCCATCCACATAGTCCGTCCTAACCCCCCGAGAACCACACATTTTTTTTATAGCTACTAAGTAGTTCAACGCCAGGGAATCCCTTGTTTGAAATTCGGCTGGAGAAAGTGAGGCGACTATTGGGCATAGGGTCACGTAGTAACCGAAATCCTCGGGATTGGGCAGCATTAGGACCTTCCGGCAGCCCAAGCCGACTTTTTTATAGTTTCTTTTGCCATAGTTATGATAAATGAAAAGCCGTTGCAAACAGATGTTTGTGATAACTACTCACACCCAGCTCAGATTCGTACCGGACTCCAGCTCAGTCAGCTTCAACTATAAGTTTGTGAAAAATGAGTCCAGATGATTATTTGATGGAAGCTTCACCGCGTTAGAGCTGCTATCAGAAGCCATTACTTATACTCTTACAAAAGAGTATGAAGGGAGATCCAAATAGAAGTCAACTCTTGAAACCAACTGAATTGAAACTAAATTGTAAAGAAGCTAAGACTTCTTGATATGTAAAGCATCTCAAGTGTAGCTTAGGCACATTTCCTCTATTTATGTGCGGGCCTCGCGGAAAACTCATTTGGGAACTGAAATTACACAAATTGGAAGGCATAACTTTTTAAACTGGGTCCCACTTCCATGATGTTCGATTCTTAGGCGCCTCGCCCACAAAGCAATAGCCGACGGGCTTGCAATGAACCTTCAAAGACGCTTTCAAGAAGATCCTAACCGAGGGTAGCCGCAACAACACCCACTTCGGGGGTGGCGAGGTTAAGGACAGACAATCGAGTGGCGGGAAAGGGCTGACGGCGTACAACGCGAGGCCTTTCCAAATATTCCCGCTATTCCCTCGTCCTCTTTATTATTTCATATATTTTCACTTATTTCTGGCTGAAAATTGGCCTGGCCAGGCACTTTGAACTTAGACAGACAGCAGGGCGGGCCATGGCTCAGTCCTCGGCGCAACTGAACAATGAAGGCCAACGCAATTACTGAAGTGGATAATTAGAGTTTGACGTGGGCTGCAAGGAGGCGATGAGGGCTCGCTTAAACATGTGACTGAATAAATATTGAGGCAAGTTTATACAACAGAAAGCAATTAAAGGCACCTCATTCGGACTGCCAGTATGCTGGCCTTTTTATGCCCCCGAAGATGATATGTACACACCCAAACGGAAGCAATTCATTTTCACATCCGCATGCATTCCAAGTTTAATAATTCTTAAGCTGTGAATGGCATCTCATCCTAACCTTGCGGGTCTGTAGAATGCCTTGAGATTTAAAATTTAATTAAAATTTCACAAGCAAAGTGACAGAATCATTTTCGGCATAAAACTTTGAGGCAAAACAAAAGGCAGAGCGGCGCCCTTATCCCAAGTCAGCCAAAGAATAAGCCCACTGGGATATTTAGTCCAGGCCTACGGCATTGTCCACTTTGTTAGTCCCCTCGCAGATTAATAATTCAAAGGGAATGAAAAGCAATTTTAAAATGATGAATTTGAAATTCTTAAATCTTATTAAACACATTGTATTAGACTTGGGTTTGTTTAGGGATCTTTATATGTAAGCATTTCATATTCATATCATTTCGATTTGAATAATTTATCTTCTAAACTGAAGATGATGTTTCTTTCTTGTCTTTAAGTTTTGTTTCTAACACAAACTTCTTACGATATAAATAGCAACTTCTTAATAATGTACAATGCGGCTGCTTTAACTAATACATATTATTGATTCGGTAAAAAATTGCAAGCAACAATTTATAGTTTCATTTAAAATGATCTTATTATCTTATTTTATTGTAATATTATGATACAAAACTACATTATAAGCAAAAAGTATTTTAATTAATATAAATATCATGTGGTTTATTTTTTAAATAAATAGGCAATTAAAAATCACATAGTAAGGACTAAACACTGGCAACCTTTACTGACTACCTTGACAATTCCAACGTAAAGGATGCATATTGATGAATTAGCAAACCAACCACCCTATCAAGCCTATGCCAGCTTTATTGACCGAAAGGACCCATTCGGGAGATTTCCAAACCTTAACTCGATTAAGTAAGTCCTTAAGAAGCAGACGGATAGACGGTAAGGTCTACTTCGAAACTCCTGGCCATGTTCAAGGCTCAAGAACATTCTTCATACGATCAAAAATTTCTCGCGTAATGCGGTAGCATTTCAAATCAAAATTATCATACCCTGCAAGGACAACGGCTCATTTAGTAAGCAATGGCAATACATTTTTCAGGAGTTCCACAGGAGTGCACCTAAAAAACCGAATGGGGCTAGTCTTGAGTATAATTCCGAATACCTGCATAGGCATGTGGCTCAGATGAGGGGACCGGCGTGCTTCTTCTGGCCCTTAAGCACCCTCCGATTGTGGGGCATTGCATAGCACAGCTTGCTCCAGAAGAGCGGATCGCCCCATTTGAGGTAGGTGTTCAGCTTGAGGTACGCCCGCAGCTCACTGTCTATGCCGTTCATGTGCTCCAGTTCGCGGTAGAGGATAATAATGATGCGCTTGCGCTTGTCCTGCAACGTGGCCTGGTAGGCGATGCGAAACTCCATGCGGGCCCACACCGAGTCGATGAAGTGCTGCGACAGCACAATGATCACACGCTTCGAGTCGTCCACGGTGCGGACAATCTGCTCCGGAATGCAGTCGCCCACCAGCCAGTCGCGGTCGTGCAGGCAGAGGCGGAATGGGTGCGGACCGCTCTCCAGCTTCGGTAGGAGCTTACTGATCAGCTCCTCGTCCTTGTGCGAGTACGAGATGAAGGCGTCGTAGGTCTTGTCCTTGTCCAGTTCCTCCTCTGACACCCACCACAGGCACAGGTTGTTGTTGTACATCCAGATCTTCAGCTCCTGCTGGAACATCAGGTAGAACACCGTCAGCAGGCACCCAATGATCACCAGGCCGCCGATCACGCAGCTGATGAGCAGGACGTACGAGGGACACAGCTCGAAGGCCTCCATGCGCTGGAGAGCCTTCTTCTGCTTCGTGCACATCACATCCGCGATGTCAATCACCCGTTGGGGATTGGTCCGCACAAAAAACAGGAGAGGCAGGGCGGCGCAGTCACAGGAGATGGGGTTCCCCGAGAGCGACAACGTCATGGTGTTGTTTGCCTGCTGCAGGAACTCCACGAACTCCTCGCTGACTTCGTTGATTAGGTTGCGACGCACGTCCAGATGGGTGAGGTTGTCGGGGAGCTGGGCACCAGATCCCAGACTGGTCAGCTGGTTGTCCGAGAGAAAGAGGCCACTCACATTCGCGTAGCCCCTGTGCTCCCCGACAGTGGGCAGCCGGTTAAGGCTGTTGTTTCCCACCTTGACCACTGTGCTGACCAACGTGGTGCGCGGCAGGACCGGGAGCTCCTCGATGCTGGTGCCCCGGCAGTCCACGATCAGGTTTTTCACGTTCCGCTGCACCCAGCAGATGCAGCGAGGGTCGCACTGCCACTCCGCCGACTTGTACTGGCATGTCTCGTCGTTGGTGCAGACCACCGCCTCGTAGCTCATAAGGAGAGTGGCCCCGTAGAACTGGGTGTTCACCATCTCGATGTAGTTCAGACTGGGCACGTCCCGGAAGACGTTGGGCGACATTGCCGTCAGGGAGTTCTTGTTGAGCCGCAATACATTCAGCGAAGCCAGCGCTGCGAAAATTGTGCTGCAGGTTGGAGGTCAGAATAATTAGAAAGCGTTTAGGTCAGGGCGAGTGGGGCCATCGAGATCTATCAATATTGGACTAACTGCAAGCTGCTGTACATTTTAAGGGTATCTACATATCTGAAGCTATTTTATTTACATATTTAAATGTATTTCGCGACTTTTTTTTATAGTATTTCTAAATATGCCCAAGGTAAAGATGAATTCAAAGGGATCTAAGGAACCAGGTTTTTGATATAATATAACAACGATACAATTTTGAATTAATTATACAGAATGTTACCACGGTTTTTATGTCTAAAATATATATATGGGCATCATGATACAAAATATAAAAATATACTACAATTTTTAAAGAAAGAAACTAAGTAGGTAAGCTTGAGCTAAAATGGGTTTCTCATATGACCATAAAAAGTTGAATTGTTAAAATAAATGCAACGCTTTACGCAAATTTCTGTGAGCTAATTAAAAAGTCAATTTTGTATATCATTAAGGTGTGTTAGTGGTTTTACAGCGAATAGTTATTCAAAAAACTCAACAATTACTGTCGTTTTTGAAACTAATAAACACCGAGCTTAAAAGTAAGCTATGTAATTTCTTAGTAACCGGATTCCGCGGTACTTTTTTCTTTTGTTAAATCTTTTAGTCTAAATGTTGACACCTGTTTAGCGTTTACCAAAATCCCAGTGATTGCAGAGATTGTTTTTCATTGCGATTTCAGTAAATAGTCAAAGGAGAATCACGAATATACACACTATAACAGATTTTACGACATTGTGTATGAGAACAATAACTAGTTGGTAGGGGATTAAAGTGCTCTTGCCATAAATAATTATTAATGTTGGGCGTACACAATGTTTGGTTGCTTGTTTGCTAAACACAAATCAGTTATTATTCTGCAATTAGTATCCAGGTGATGGAGCGCTGATAACCCCACTCGGCTGTCGTTAGAGACACGGAACGCTCGTTGAGCTTTCGCCCGTGCCGGAGCTCGCAACTGATAAGGAAAGCAGCAGCCGCACCACAGCGATAAGGCAGAGAAGACTCGGTGGAAATCGATTAATTACTTTGGCCGCAACTTCTCGAGTCTCGAGTCGGACCCTATCGCGAGGCGGGCCATCTTTTAATCAGCGAAAGCAAGCGAAAACAATGGCCTCTCGCTCACTCACCTTGATAAGTCAGTCAGTTTATTTTTGGAGAGATCCAAAAGAGTGAGATTGCCCAGGCCCAGGAAGGCGTCATCGTGCAAGTGGCTGAGGGCGTTGCACGACAGGTCGAGGGTCTGCAGATTGAGCTGGTCGCGGAACACCTCTCCCGGTAGCTCCAGCAGGTCCTCGTTTCCATTTATCTTGATGAGCTGCAGCTTCTCGGTGCCCTTGAACATTCTCCGGTTGACCTCTCCCGTGGCCCGTGCCAGGCGCACCTCCACTAGCTGCTTCATGGCCCCAAAGAAGTGCGGCTGGAACTGATCGTTCCGGCCGCGTTGTGGGTCGGTGAGGAGCAGACTCAGGTTCCGCAGCTGCTTAAGTTCGCTGAGCAGTGGATAGCCGAACTTTACCATGCCCGGACTTTCGATGGTCAGGGTTTCCAGGGTCTCACTCACTGTGGAGAGCAGGAGATGAGGTAGCTCCGATACCTCCACTCTGAGCAGCACTTCGGTGAGGCTGTCGAATCCGTGAAAAATGGACTCCTGTAGCACCTTTACGTCGCTGTAGAACTTGAACTTCTTCAGACCGGGCAGGGCTCCAAAGTGCCAGGTGGAGATGTTTCCGGGCCGACCAGAGTTCTGGTACCCGCCGGCCGCATTATGGACGTCCCGCGTGACCACTGTCTCTGCGGTGCGATCTCGAAACAGGACCGTCTTCACCTTTGTCACCCCCATGGTGTGCAGCAAGTCCTCTAAAAACGTTTCCGGCCAGAAGGAGTAGGCATCGAACTCGATCTTCACCAGTTCGCTGATGTTGAAGCGTGGCAACCAGTGCAGCTCGCCGGCGGCGTAGTAGCTGAGGTACAGTGAGGCTCCTGGCTCGGAGACCTCCAGCAGCATGGCGTACTCATCCGGGCAGTGAAAGCGCACCACATTTGCCTCGGCGGCACAGGTGCACGGCTCCCTGGCGCCCTGGCAGAAGGTAGGCAGTGGAATAATCTGGCCCGTAGCCTGCTGCACCGGCAGCGTACCGGCCCAAAGGAGCCACACCACCGGCAGAAGGCTTAACATATCTCGGTCACTTCACTTGGCCGTTTTATGGGCTTATTATTTATAACCGCGAAGAGTCGAGTCTGGTTTGGCGGCGTGCGGAAATCGAGTACGGACGAACGCGACGTGGAACGGCAAGTGAACACGGCAATGTTTCGGCTATGACTGAATCACAGCTGGTGGGGTTCCTGCTAGTCAGGCAGCTAGCAGCCAGTTCCGATAACGAGCCAATTGGCTTTTTGCGTCGACGCCTTTGCTTTTTTTCCTCCTTATCTCTTAGCCGTATCGGAGCGGATAGCTCCGTTGACATGGCAGCCATGTGAGGCGCCATTATCAAATTAGTGGTGGTAGGTAGGAGCGAAGGGCTGTGGAAAGCTTCCTTGTTTCTTAAGCTTTGGCCTTTAAATAGTCCTTAGAGCTTAAGCTAGTTTTTCACAACAGTCCTGTCATCCCATGAGTGAGATGTTTGCCAGCACAGATATTTAAGATGCTATTCTATTTAGGTAATAATTTAATTATATGAAATTGCTTAACCTATTTCAAGTTTCTCTGAATTTTAAAGTCGGTCAAATCCTTTAAATTCTTAACTAATTCTTTATTAACCCCAGTCAAGCCTAAGACGCATCACTTGTTTATAAAGCCACTATCTTACGGAATTTATTTATGCCCAAATGTCATAATGTTAATTGGACGCTTGTTTCTGAATTCGTTCCGGCGATAAGAAGTGTTTATATATGGGCTCTGCTCTACACTGACAACTGAGTAATTTTTTATCAAAGAAAGCGGCAACTTTCAAGTGTTTGCCTATGAGTCAACAAACGAAAAATAAAGTGGGAGTCACACAAGCTTAGTGCAAATATTTAGCATAATTTTAGGCCCTACAATTATATGGTACTTGTATTAATTGATTAGTATTTGAAGTGGTTTTAAAGAGGATGCTATAAATTGCATACAATAAAGGGATCACAATTAAGAATCACGTTTGAAATATGATCAAATTAGAGGCCATCGATTTCAAATAAAATACGAATAATGTAGTAAACTTAAACATTTTTTTATATTTTTGATATTCGTCTGTAAGTAAGTAATATTAAAACTTTGAACTGTGAAGTAAGTTTAATTCAGCAATTTACCTAAATTCTCCCCATAATTATAAACTAATCTGGATTTAAACAAAGTCAGTTGCCTTCTACATTTCTAATGCATTATTTTATTTCTTATTTATTATTGGGTTTTATAATTGAAAGTTTCAATTGCTCCTCTATAATTTTGTAGGTGCTGCCTAACGCACGTCTAGATTTATGGTAATTCGTAACTCAGAAGTCTGTGTCGACTTTTTATGCATGAAAATAAAATCACTTATGGAAATTAAACGAAACTTCGTCCATCAAAAAGAGGCCTGCCATGAATATTCGATGAAAGCGCTCAATATATCGGCCCAAGCCGCACCTCGAACTGTCACGCATTGAATATATCCGCTTGACAGGTGTGTGACAGCCCACGCTTGAGCTCTTGGAGCCATCCGAGAGTGGGCCAGACGAGGGGCACTTACTCAAAAATATATACGGTCGGCTGGGACAAGTCAATCACTTAAATAGGCGCCTTATGCGGCGACCTTGACAGCGCCAAGAACAGCCGTCATTATGGACTTCTGCACATTATCGAGTTGCCAAACTTGCCACGCTTCAGCTGAGCCGACTTCATTATAAGATTTTCATCATTCATTTCGCGTCAATTAACAGTTTCCCCTCCGTACAGGGCCATTATGCCAAAAACTTTCGAACGACGTTTTAATTGGGTCTGCCAGGCCCCGGCAAGTCATGCAGTGCAGCATCGCCACAGGACACACATCAAAAGTGACCTTTTCGGGGCTGGCTAAATGTGAAATGGCAAACACAATTACACGGCCAATTACACTCATGGCAGGCACCAATGGTCCAAGGTCCCCGGCAGTAGGCATTGTTGTTTGCAACATTCTCATACGCACTGTTGGCCGTATAACGCATGCAAACACGCAGAAGCACTAATGAAGCTCCGTAGTGATTACAATAGTTTCTGATGTGTAATAGCTTGTTGATTTCTTTAATTAGGATAAGACTGTTAGGAACTTCATGAAATTCACAACATACACCTTTAATTTATTCACAAGCAATGAGTACGATTGAATGCAATTTATATCCCACCTATCAGTCGTCTCTGATGGCCGACATGCAGCCTATCTGTGCATATGCATCTTGACCACTGGGCCACGCAGCCATCTAGCTGCAGGCTAGTAGCGATGGGAAACCAAATTACGCCTGACTTTTGACTTTTTGACCCCATTTCCCAAGCCAAGCAAAGCTGAAAAGAGTAGCTGCTTCGCAGGGGAGATGAGTCGGTGGAATGGAGCCCACATCAATCTAAGCTGAACCCGGCAGCATTTAAAGGGTCATTTCTCATAAATGTCAACACTAAATTAACGCACAACTCACACACAGCCGAGGGAGAAGCCATGTTTTTTGGGTGTTGGCAGAAACAACGTTTGCAATGGCCTGTCAACTGTCAGCCATGACAATTGTGCTGGCAGCCATGCGGCCCAGATTGGCCCTAACCTATTTGACATTTGGCAAATTGCATGCCAACCCAAAAGGAAAATGCACTTTGAGTAGCGCATTGCAAATTAAATCAAAATACACACAGAGCCCTGACAACAGCTAAGCTCTCCGCCACATCTGCCAAATTGTGCTCCCCCCGGTCCCCCAGCTCGGCAACCGCAGATACATTTCTACAGACGAGTGGCTTTTGTGTGTCAGTGAGCCAGTGTGAGTGTGAGTGTGTACTTGAAAAATCTAATCAAATCCCATCCCAGGGAGGAACGGATGAGAAGAATAGCATAAGAATGGAGCACAAGATCAAATTTGAGCAACAAATCAATAAAATGTTGTGTTTTGTGAGCATGCTTCTAGCCGGACCGCATCCGCTTTCATTGCCTCCCTTTGGAATGCTCAACCCTGAGTATACGCAGTGTGGGCCCTTGCGGGAGGAGCATAATTTGGTTTGTTACAAGGGATTTAGTGTAAGTGCTACACAGAATGCACCTAAGTAAGGCGAAGTTGTGAGAGAATCGGCCTGAAAATTGAATTCAAACAGTTGCAGGATAACTAGATTTTCTGAGAACCTATTACCCTCGTTCTTGCGGTTCATCCAATGTGTTCTATAGAAAGGACAGCACTTTATCAGTCGGAAACTGCTCAATATTAAAATGCATCATTATCCAAACTTTTATCTAAAATTATGTTTTTGTCCTTAAATTAACCAAAACTCTGCTTTGTCCTCCAAAAGTAATCATTTTTCGTTTCGTCATGTGGGTTGTGAATGAAGACAAGACACCAGATGCACGAGTCATTATTCTGCAACACCCTTTACTCAGGACCTACAGTTTGCGCCACATTAAATGGCAAAATTGTCAGAATGCCGCAACAAATGGTGACCGTGGCACGTCCTGTTTTTGTTTTTGTCTTGTTTCTCCATCATTTTCCTTACATTTCTGTGGCCACCGTCTTTTTGTTGTAGGTGTTGCTCCCTCTAACTAAATACTGAAAAACGGAGAAGGCGTGGCTGCTGCCATGTGTGGGCCCGTTGGCGATTGTCGTTCCAGTTTGCTGGCTGCCTCTGTTCTTCCTGCAGCTCCGCCATTGTTGTGTGCAACAGCAGAAAATTTCGTCGACATTATTGTCAGAATTTCTTGCAACCCGCCGCATGTGTGTCCTTTGTCTTAGTCAGTATCTTTCGCTGCGTGAAAAGGAATACTGTCCATTTTTTAATCATTCCTGGGCAATACATGTTGCAATTTGTGCGCTCCATTAAATGTATCTTTGGCTCTTTTTCTTAAAACACTTCTTTCGGATTTTATATTTGCAAATTTCTAAGAAAACCGATATTTCTTGCTTATATGTTTACTTGAATTAAATATGTAAGTATTTAAAAAGTGTTAATTAATGTTAAATTTGTGTATTAGGGCGCAGATTTTCAATGATCTATAAAAAAGCAATACATTTTAGACAGAAAATATCCCAAGGACACTAACCTATTCACAAATTTTGCTGTGAACAAAGATATTGCATTTTTTTTCTTTTTTTGAGGTAACAAATCCCCCTGCAAGGTTTCATAGAAATTAAGTAGATGCAGTTTGTGCCCTCGTATGTCCTCTGAAATTCAGGATACTGTCAGCTGCTGCTGCTTTTTTCTTATTTTTCGATGCAGATGCAAGCCAGGGCGACACTGCAAGTGTTCAAATGCATCGGGGCATGAAGCAACTACGACAAAATGGAGAAAAATTCAACTGAAAATGTTGCAGTTAGGGTAGAGCCAGGCACAGGCAACAGCAACAAATTCGACAGCCAAGTGCGCGAAAAACGACGCAAAAGGGGGAATAAAACAATAAAATTAAAAAAAAAAATCGGTCTGAGTCCTCCCGACTTTGAGATACCTGCTACTAGCTGTTCATAGCCTACGAAGTTTCCTAGAACCTTTAGTCTCTGTAAAAACTAATGACAAATCAGGGTCATTTCAATTAATTTCTGCAATGAAAACGGTATTTAAATATACTTTATGTAAATTTGAGAGGGATTTTCAAGCTGTCATGGCTAAATCTAAATATGAACTAGGACCCATACACATACACTCGATGCATACAATATACCCCTAACGTGGCAAAAAAAAAGGCTATAGAACAGAAACAGCACGAAATGCCAGGGCAACAAAGTTGCAAGTTGAGTTCAGCAAACTGCGCGCAGCAGGCAGCTAGCTCTATGTAGTTCACATTTTTTTTTTATACAGAAGTATTCGCATACACACTTGTATCTTTGAGTTTTTGTATCTGGGCATCCGTGCGCTGCCCTCCTCCACCTGTGGCGCCCTGATGATGGAAGACGGAGGTGGACCTGGAGAGCTGCAACTGGGAAGCTGCAACTTTTTCAAGTGCTCGGCTGTTGAGTTCTCTATCCTCGTCCTTCACCCTCCTGCAGTTCTTCACTCTCCCCCTCCCGTGGTTGCATTTTTTGGGGCCAAGTTTAAACAACTGCATGGACAGGCTGTGCCTCGGTGGATAAACTTTCTACTTAAAATTCGACAGGCAGAAAATTATAATAATAATAATATTGTG